ACAGTAAAAGCAGATCAACTTCGGATATGTTTTTATATTTGCGAGAATTATTTTTTTTATTCGCTTTGGTCTTTACATCGTACACAGCTTTATTTAGCAGGTATTTCTTTTTGTGTAACTGAATTATTTATTTATTTTTTTTTTTTTGTTTAAAAAATTTTTAATTGGATAATATTTTCATAAAAATTTTTAAATTGTTTAGGTAATCAAATTTTACAAAAAAGACAATAGTTTTTAATTTTTATATACTTTTTAACATATTTACATGAGATCAGCTTTTATTATTATTTATAAGTAAAATTTTAAAATGATTTTTTTTTTTTTATTACAGTTTACCGAAAATTGGGAAGGCACCAACTCCTGTTCCCTTTTTCCAGAGAAATTCTGAAGTTGTAGATTATTATAGGGGAAATATAAATGCTGCTTTTCAAAGAGCTTCTGAAGTTGATTTAACAGTGATTATGTATTATGCTCCTTGGGATGCAGAATCGCAAGCGACAAGAGGTGAATTTGAAGCTGCTGCTAAGTTTTTTAAAGACGAGGTAATTATTCAAATTTTTTTAAAAATTATAATTATTCCTCGAATAAGAAAATATTTAATTTTTTTCAGGTGTTTTTTACTGCAATAAGTTGTTGGGCTCCTACTTCGGAATGCAAACAACATGTGACTAGAATTAAAACTTTTCCCGTGATTGTTGCCTATCCTCAACATTCAAAAGGAATCGCTTACCAGGGGCCTTTAAAAGCTGTTTACATAATACATTTTATAAAAACATTAATGAGACCAATACATAGAATACTATCATCTGTTGATATTGTCCATTTGACAAGTAAATTTAATGTAGTGTATTATCGAAAATTATTTCTTATTATTTAATATTATCAACGATTATTAATTTTAAAAGTTAAATTCTTTATTAAATTATTTTTTTTTTTTTTTTTTTTAGATTCTTCTAGTTGGTTGTTTCTTATTTAGTGGAAGCCTTGGGGGACCTGGTTATTATACATTTTTTTCTACTGCTATAAAAATATTAGAAAAGTATCCCTTACAAGAAGTCGGATTTGCAGTAACAACTGATCAAGCTGTAGCAGCTTCACTCGGTTTTGACGTATTACCAAACATACGTTTATACTTATGGAATGAAACTCATGATTATCCAGTTCATGCTGATTATACAGAAGAATCATTAATTAAATGGATAACACAAAAATCTTATCAAATTGTGCAATGGGTTTCCCCGCCAAAAGTCAAATCTCAAATTTTATCACCTCTGATAACAAAAGGGCCAACATTAATATTGTTCACACCTAGAAATCCTTTGGCAAATGATAATCCAATGTTTAACATGGTGAATAATTATCGTTTCATTTATGTTTACGTCATATAACCATTAAAACATTAATGTGAATCATTTAAATAATTTTCAGTTGAAAGAATTAACGTTGAAATACTACAATTGTGACAACAACACGTGGGTGAGACATTTGTCGAATTTCATTGAATTTAAAAATAGTTATCAAGAACTATTTGAAACTAAATATGATAATAAGTGCGAAATGAGAAAAATAAAAAAGGATTTTGATAAAATGTCAATTATCAATATGCCTTCTGTCGTGCCTAATTTATTTTATAATAATAATAGTGAAAATACCGATCAAGATGTTTGCGATGTTGAAGATTTAAATATAAAATATTTTAATCGTGAATCCGAAGTTTGTTTCAGTCACACGACGAAAGTTAAAAGCGTTCTTTTAAACACTATGAAACACAGTCACAAGTAATATTTGTTTCTTTTACTCTATATTTGTTAATTCTCCCCCCCCCTGTCCCTCTCCATCCCCCGTATTAAAAAAATAAAATCTTAAAACTGTTTCTTTTTTTACAGTTTAGAAAATTTGCAATTTTTAAATGATAAAAAAGATTTCAAATCACCGGAAATGTTGTTTGAATATTGGGAAGATTTTAAATGTAAAAATTTAGAATATGAAAATAATTATTATAAACTTTCTTATCCGAAAATTCAGAAAATGATTGATTTTAATGATAAAATCGATGGTTTGGCTTGCGTTAATAATCGAACGTTGTCGGTCATTGCAATGGATTCTTTGATTTATTATCAATTTGCCGAAGGACTTGGCGTAGATATATTAAATAAAAAAGATAAAAGTGCAATTATTATTATTGATAAAAAGGTAAAATAAAAAAAAAATAAAGTTTAATTTTAATACCGTAGTTGACAAATGTTTATATTTTTTCTTTATTTCTTTCTTATTTTCAGGAAGATAGTCAGTTTTTAATGGAGGAAGAAATAAATAGGGAAAATTTAATATCGTTCATAATAAAACACACGAAGAAAAAATTAAATCGATTCCTTCGATCGTCGCATAATTCAAAATCAAGGTCATTGACTCGTTATCGATTTCCGGTTAGAAAAGGTGAAAATTGCACCCACACGGATACGGAATCCTGCGTGCCTGAATTAAATTCAAATAATTTTATCGATTTCGTAATGAATCCAAACAAGGTATAACGGAAAAGAAAACTAAAGCAAACAGGAATAAACCTCAACAATCGATTATTAATTGTTTGTTTGTTTGTTTGTTTGTTTTGTATTTAATTTTTTCCAGGCTGTGATTGTTTTTTATCATACACCTTATTGTGCATTTTGTCGAAGCGTATCGCACTTGTATTTGTTACTATCGAGATATTTCACGTATTTTCAGGATTGGATTTGCGAGATCGACGTGATAATAACGATCTTCCCTGGGAATACACGATGGATCTTTTTCCATCGATATTATTTTTTCCAACTCTGAGGTAATTTTTCTTTTCTTTTTTTTTTTCTTCTTCTTCTTCGTAATTCAAAGAGTTGTATAATACTCAATACTGTTTTGTAGAAAATCAGAAAGTAGATTGTACAGCAACGACCTTCCGTTCACAATAAAAAATTTAATACATTTCGTTTTGGCAAATTTGGAACCGGAAGCTAAAATTCCTGCCATGATAAGCCTTTGCATAAGTTTCGAAAAACTTCAGGTTCGTTTTTACTTAAAAAAAAATTTAAATTTAAATTCAAATATGATTAATTTGTTTTGTTTTTGGTTTTACAGAACGATAACGAAGCTAGAAGATGTAAATCGAAAATACAAAAACAATGTTACGATTATTTATCATTGATATTAAAAGACGTGAGAAAAATAATGAATCGTTGGAAAAATTTACCGCCCACGTCAAAATTCATATCGGATTTAATAAGAAAAAAACAAATATTAATACAAAAATTAGAATATTTTAAAAATAGTCATTTTCTATTGAGTTCAATAGATAAAATAAGTAAAAAATCAAGAGTTTCGGCGGATATATTACAATTATATTTAAAATTTTTATCATTGATTAGAACTAATACATATTATTTAAATTACGACGGGTACAGATGAAACGAAAACTAAAAAATTTAATAATTAATTAAATTAATTAAATTATAAAGTAAAAAAAATATATATATATATAATAAATTAAATTAAAAAATTATTATTATTTATTATTTATTTTTTACTTTTATTTAATTTAAATAATCGTAGCTGCTTTTTTTCTTATTCGATATAATTTTATCGTCGTCGGTTTAAAAAAAATTAATTTAATTTAATTATCGATCGGGATTATTAGGAAATTTATCAATGAAGAAAAAATAATTTTTTTTTTTTTTTTAAAAACAATATATATTAATTATTAATTTTTTTTACAATCAATCATCACTCTTGTGTGTCGATTGATATTATTACGAAAAACATAGTATTTGACGTTTTTATAACAATTATTAATTTTTTCCGTTATAAAAACACAGAAAAAAAATTTTCTTTTACATAAGTGCAATACTGTTTTTACAAAAAAAAAAAAAAAAAAACTAACACACACAAAAAAACCAGCTCGTAAAAAAAAAAAGAAAAAAAAATTAAATATAAATATATATAAAAAAATATATAAAATTTTTTGAAAAATAATAAACGAGCGCAAATAATTTTTCTTTTTTTTTTTTTTTTTTATCAAATTGTAAACTGAACACTAGAAATGTTTTTTTTTTTAATTTTTTTTTATTTTCCTTATTAATTTTCCCGAATTTTTTCTCGTTTTATATGGCTACTATTAAATAAAGGCTAAAAATTTATTTTACAAAAAAAAAAAAATTTTCTTTCTTTATTTATTTATTTTAATTTTTTTTTTTATTTTTAAATTATTTTTTAGAGGAAATTTCTTTCATTCTGTTCAAGGCACTTCCGGCTTTGAACCATTCTATTTGTAAATCGTTTAACGAATGATTTAATGTTATTGTACGTTTTTCGCCATTTGCATGTTTTATTTCGCATTTGACGGGCTGAAATTCAAAAATTTTTTTAATTTAAGATGAGGTAAAAAAAAAAGAAAAAAATCTTAATTATTATTATTATTATTTTTTTTACCTTTCCAGGTTTCAATTCGTTTAATCCCAACAAGGAAATTTTATCGTTTGGATTAATCAAATCGTAATCGGATGGATTGGCAAAGGTCAAAGGTAAAAGACCTTGTTTTTTAAGATTTGTTTCGTGTATTCTAGCAAAGGATTTAACGATGATGGCTCTTCCACCGAGATGCCTGGGTTCTAATGCTGCATGTTCCCGACTGCTTCCTTCTCCTGAAAAGGTAAGAATATCAAAAGGATTCATATTTTTTTTTTTTTTTTTTTTTACTTTTATTACGCGCGAGTTATAGACAGAAAAAAAAAAAAAAAAAATTTTACCGTAATTTTCATCTCCAATGGCGACCCACTTGATTCCTTTGGCTTTGTAATCTCTGGCAACGTCAGGTACGGATCCGTACTGTCCACTCAATTGATTTTTCACTTTGTTCATTTCTCCATTTTCCGCATTCACAGCCCTTGTTAAAGAAAAAGAAAGTTAATTAAAATCACCACCTACGTGAGAATCATCGTAATATAGGTATCAAAAAGTACCCGATGAACATGTTATTGGAAATATTGTCCAAGTGACCACGGTATTTCAACCACGGTCCCGCCGCCGATATATGATCCGTTGTACATTTTCCTTTGACCTTTATTAAAATGGTCATGTCTTCCAAATCTTGACCATCCCATTTATCGAAAGGTTCGAGAAGTTGGAGTCTCTGAGAACTAGGATTAACATTTACCTGTAATTGAAAAAATGTTTTTATTTACGACCTGACCTTTTTCCCCCGCAGATAAAAATGAATTCAATGAATAAATTTATTATTTAATTTTTAGCAAATTTTATTTATTTATTTTTTGGCAAATACTAAATATTGCTACTTTCAGCAATTTATTTTATTTTTTGTTGACCGCGAAAAAGTTATCTTTTAAATTTTTCACCGGTTAAACGTTTAAAATAAATAATCCTTTTATTTACTCTATGAATAATGTAAAATCGTGAAAAAATTAAAAGGGTATTAATTAAAAGTACGGTCAAAAAAAAAGAAACATACCGTTAACGAGCTGCCATCTTGGGGGGGTGCCTGATAGGTATCTAAACCGGGATCGAATCCTTTGGCTGGTAATTCTTTTCCGAAAGGAGGATCCAACAGAAATTCCTTTCCTAAAAAATCAAAAAAATTTTTTTTTTTTAACGAAACTTAGTTTTCATTTGAAAAAAAAAAAAACCTAATTTTAAACCAAACCTAAAAAATTAAGGCTCACCATCTGCTCCGGTTAATTTATCTTTAGTCGGATCAAAATCTAAAGTTCCAGCTAAAGACAAGGCTACGACTAGTTCTGGAGAGGTAACAAATGCATGAGTTGCGGGATTCGCATCATTACGTCCCGTGAAATTTCTATTGTAAGAAGTTACAATTGTATTTTTTTCTCCTTTTTTTACATCTTTTCTATCCCATTGACCTATGCACGGACCGCAAGCGTTTGCCAATACGGTACCACCGAATTGACGAAGAATTTCTGCCTACGGTATCAAAAACCAAGTAGGAGTACTTTTTAAAAACCAAAAAAAAAATACTTTATTTTACTGGAAATTTATAATTAAAGTACTCATATCTCTTACAATGCCATCTCGTTCAATGGTAGCTCGGATTTGTTCCGATCCTGGGGTAACGTTAAATGGTATTTTGGATTTTAATCCATGTTTTAAGGCATTTTTAACTATGTTGGCACATCTTCCCATGTCTTCGTAACTGGAATTTGTACAACTACCGATCAAACCTGAAATGAATAAAGTTTTGTATTATAAATTTTTTATTTTATCTAAAATATATTTTTGTCTTTACAAAATAAAAATTTTAAAAATTCTAATTAACAAAAAAAAAAAAAAAAAAAAAAAAAAACGTGCCTACTCGAATATCCAAAGGCCATCCTTTTTCCCTGGCAGTTTTGCCCAACTTTCCAATGGGATGAGCAAGATCTGGAGTAAATGGACCGTTTACGTGAGGTTCTAAAGTATCTAAATTAATTTCTATAAGTTGATCATATTGACAATTTTGATCAGCACTTAAAAGACTATTCTTATATTTGCTAGCTTCTTTGGCAACATCGCTTCGTCCCGTAGCTTCTAAATAATCACTCATTCTTTTATTGAAAGGAAATATGGAAGTTGTAGCACCTATTTCGGCACCCATGTTACAAATAGTAGCCATTCCTACAAACAATAAATTTGTAAATTAATCAATTTAAAATTGACTATAAAATATAAGTTTTTATTTACAATCATATGAAAGTCACCTGTACATGAAATGGAATCAACTCCTGGACCATGATATTCTATAATAGCTCCAGTTCCTCCTTTTACCGTTAATAGTCCAGCCACTTTAAGTATTACATCTTTCGGGGAAGTCCAACCGCTTAATTTTCCTGTTAACTTAACTCCTATAACCTAAATTTAAAATAAAAAATCCTTTTTTTCCTTTTCTTAACATTTTTTACAAAAAAAAAAAAAAATTTAACTCTTTTTAATTGAACTAAACTAACCTTAGGACATTTTAATTCCCATGGAATATTTGCCATAACATCAACAGCATCAGCTCCTCCCACTCCTATACATAAACCTCCTAATCCTCCACCGTTGGGAGTGTGAGAATCTGTACCAATCATTAAAAGACCGGGAAATGCATAATTTTCTAAAATAATTTGATGAATAATACCAGAACCAGGATGCCAAAATCCTACACCATATTTAGCTCCTGCAGATTTTAAAAAAGAATATACTTCTTCATTTTGTGTTTTAGCTCTTTTTAAATCCTCTTCGCCTCCAATCTGAGCTTCTATTAAATGATCACAATGAATGGTCGATGGCACAGCAACTTTTGGTAAACCTAAAAAAAAAAAAAAACTCCATAGTAAAATTATAATGAAAATTCATTTATATAAAAATAAATAAATTATTACCAGAAGAAATAAACTGTAACATGGCCATTTGAGCTGTGGCATCTTGCATGGCCACTCTATCAGGGCGTAATCGAAGGTAAGATTCCCCTCTAACAATTTCTTGTTTTCCCGGTTCATCTATATGAGAATATAAAACCTTCTCTGATAGAGTAAGAGGTCTTGTTAACCTTTGTTTTACAGAATTAAGTCTACTTGTTAATTTTTCATATGGAAGATCATTATTTGGATCAAATTTACTCATGGCCACTCCAGCCACCCGTATCATAATTGGATTGAAACATTTTATAGGATTTGGACTAATTAAATTGCAAAATTTCTGAAATTTAAATTGATTTTTTACAGTGAAAAAGATAATATTTTTCACATGATGTTAATTTAATAAGTAAACATTGATATTTGATTTGCCTACAAATGTAAAAAGTAATATTGAAAACTACAAAACTTGGAGTTTAAAGGGAAAATTTTTTTTTTTTATTAATCATCATCAAATCGATAATGAAGTATTTTTATATAAATGATTTAATTGTCAACAATTATTAAAAATTTGCAAGTAAGCTATATTATGTCTCTGATGAATCATTCTATGTCATTACCCTGATTAAAAAATAAACAAAGTAGATACAAAATGTTTAAGAATTTTTACTCAGAAATTTTATTATAGTAATTAAAAAAAATAAAATGTTTATTACGAAATAATATAATGTCCTCTCAATTGGATATGATACAAATGGCAAAAAATCAAAAAATATTTTTCATTTAAAATTCCTACATTTACATTTTTTACATTTAACATATTTAAATATACAAGTATATTTAAAAAAAAAACAAATAAATTATTATTCTTCACCTTTGAACATTGGCTCAAAGACAAATTTTAGATAAAAAAAAAAAAGAATTACATAAAAAAAAAAATAAACAAAAAAAAAAAATCTATCATGAGAAAAATAAAACTTTTTTAACTTACTTATCAGCTGAGAAAGATAATGGAAAACGTCAATATAATTATTTTTACAGAAATTGAAAACAAAAATTAATAATATAAATTAATGCTTAATGTTATAAAAACAAATTTCTGAATATTATTAATAATATTTAGAATTAAAAAAGTTTATTTTCTTGTGTCACATGATTTAACCAATAATAAATTTCGACTTAAAAATAAAATTGAGTAGTAATTGTAATTTATTTGCATACAGAAATTTTGAAATGTTATTTAAATATTATTATCAAGTGATTTCTATCCATGAATAAAAATATTTGTATTTTTTGAGTAAAACTTTTAACGTACATATTTCCGTTAAATAAAAAAATAAAAACGATTGGGGCATAAAACTCAAACAAATTTTTATCGGATCTGATAAATGAAATTAAATATTAAATGAAAAATAATAAAATTTTAGGTCAGTTTAATTTTTTATTGAAAATAACTTTTACAACAGCACAACAAAAAATATTTTTAACCATAATATATATACATATGAAACCTTAGAAATACTCTTACAATTCGAATCGCCGGAATTATTAAGTTATTTAATACATAAAACTCTGTAATCGCATTACGACTATTTGCAAAAATTACATCTTTTACTTAATTAAGCATGTTTTTAATAAAATAACTTACCTGAGTATTTTTTAACCCCTTTAAAAAGTAAGCCATCTTTGCAAAAAAAACGAAATTTAATTAAAGGACGTCACAATGATAAAAGTCATAGAATAAAAAAAAAAAAAATCGCTTGCATCATCAAATGACACGTCTTCGGGCAAAAAAATAATAAAAAAATTATTTTGCTCTATGGTCGTTTTTGGCTCAGAAAAATGTTTTTTAACTGTTTGGTTTTTTCTGGATTTCTTTTAAAGTATTTATAAGGTTAAGAAAACACTGTTTTCGATTATGTACTATTTATAATTACAATTAAATTAGTTATTAAAGTTATTTAAGCAAAATGGCATTAAAATATCTTATTTTCAAATGTAAATTTACTTTATACAATACTTGTTTATAAGTCGTTACAAAAATTGCCGCCATTTTTTTGTATTTAAACTTTTAATTAAACTTGATTAATTAAAATTACTCAGTTAAAAAGATTTTATTTATAATATTATATTATAGTTAATATTCATTATTATTAAGGATTTTATATATGTATGTAAACTTAACTTTTTTTGTGTTCACATTGCCTAATGTTAAAAACATTTAGTGTTAAAGTTTAAGAATAATTGCAATGTTAATCATTTTCCAAATATGGTGGAATCATTTCTATTATCACCCACACCGCTAGAAAAATATACGAATTCGTGTCAAGGAAATCAGTTTTTTTTTTTACAATCATTGCTAAAAATTGTTCTATTTATTACTTATTTGCAAAAATTCAATTTAAAAAGGATATAAAAACAAAATTGAAGCAAATTTTTTTTTTTTTCATACACGGATATTGTTTTTCGTGCAAGGAAAAAAAAAAAAATTAAAAAATGGCGAATACATAAAAACATAAATAAAATGAAAAAAAAATTTTGTCATTTTATTTTTTATATAGATGTTAAATTTTCTTTTAAAATTTCATATAAAATGTTTCGTAAACAGTCCCGTAAACACAAAAAATCTCACTTTTTTTTTATTTTTACGAGATTTTATTCGAATTTTATTATTTTTTTTTACTTTTTATGTAAAAAATTGTAATGTAATACGTGATAAATTAATTTTATTAGAATAAATTTAAATGATTTGAAATTTGTTAAATTTTTTTTTTTATGTATAGTTGACAAAACGTCAGAGAGTTTCTTCTTTGTTCAATAATAAAAATATTTTGTAAAATAAAAAAAATTGATTTTCTTTATAAATGTTCAATGTGGCGTATTAAATAATATTTGTTGTTGTTGTTTTGTTGTTTAAATTCAATTTTTTTGATTACGTCATTGACGAGTCGATTTAAGGATTTAATTTATTTATTATGAAAAATGTTCGATAATTTTTCTGTTTAATTTTTTTTTTTTTTAATAATAAAATACAAAGCTATTAAGGAAAAAAAAAACAAAAAACAAGAATTCAAGCTAAATAAATATTATTATATATTTCTCCAAATATTATTATTATTATTATTATTTTTCATATAATTATTTTGTCGCAAAAAAATTCTTAACAATATTTTGACGCTCTTCATTACTTTTGTTATTTTCATTATCAAGTAATTCCTTCCAAAGACAGTAACCTGTAAAAAAAATTTAATTTGAAATTGTAATTTATTTTTTTTTATTATTTAAATTATGATTTTAATAAATTTATTTTTACCTTCGCAAACACACAGAGCGAAAATTAATAAAAAACAAAAATATTTCATTTAAAAAAAAATATTTTAAACTTTTCACGACCGATGTTAAATTAATATTATTATTATTTTTTTGCTAAAGGTTTCTGTTTAGAATTATTTGAGTAAACAATACCAATCTTTTGTTCGTTTTTTTTTTTTTTGTTTTTAACCATTTGATCGAGAAAAATTTTTTTGTTTGGTTAACGTCTCGTACAAATGTTTTGTTTTCTTTGTTTGTTTGTTTCATTAATTAATTTTTTGTTTTAATTTAAAAAACGAAGGTTTAATCGTTAAATTATGAAAAAAAAAAAAAAAGGGCAATGCGAAGAAATGGTACAACCTCATTCCAAACCCGGTTACGACAGTGGGTCCATGCACGGTCATCAACAAATCCTCACGGATAGAACTGTGGCAGCCAACAAACCGGATATCGTCCCGAGGGGTAATGCGGAAAAATGGTGCAAGTTAATTGAAGTATCCCTACCGGCGGAAAAAAACACCGGAAGCCAAAAAAGTGGGCAAGGCTGAAATAGCCAGGATATGGGGAGTAAAGACAGAAACAATTCCGGTCATCGTGGGAGCAGCACTGGGAGCCATGATGCCACATTCAATAAAAGGAAATTTAAAGAAGATTTTGAAGAACCTAAAAGAAGAAGAAACGATCCAGGAAATTGCACTATGTGGGACGGCCCACATTCTTTGGAAAATATTATAAATAGCACTAACGAAATTTGAGCATTTATTCCTGAGGGATTGGGTAGAGACCTGGAATAGGCGTTCAAATACATGGAATCTTGTCGTGTTCGAAAATGATGATAATAATATTTTCATATGGTAAAAAGGTTTAAATAATCATCACCATTCATATTATCTTACAAAATTTTTTCATTTATTTTTAAATAATAATATTTTTTTTGATAAGTAAAATTTTTTAATAATTAATTATTAATTAATTTTACTTATAGATATTATTAAAGTATTATAACTAACAGTAAATATTTATCTGGAACAAAACATTTTAGCAATTTGAAAACTTCCTATTATTCCACGTCCGAAATCCATAACTTTCGATATGATTCCACATTCTAAAAAAATTACTTTTAATTAATATAAATATAATAATTAATTAATTAAATTTAATACGACTCACCAACTGACGAAAAAAATGATTAAAAAAACATAAACATCAATTTTATCATTTTTCCTATTATTATTATTTTTGTTTACACGTGAACCGAATGAAATCAATCAATTGATTGATCCGATTGCGATTCATTTAAATTTTTTATTATTAGTTTTACCTTGTTTATTTTTTGTTTGACAAAACCGACAATTTACGCATTATCAAAAAGGTTACAAAATTTTAAAAAAAAATTTAATTTGAAATAACCGCCATTTTT